GGAAGTTCATTCAAGAAACCACTACGCTGCTGTGTATATAAACTGGACAGGCTCGCTCGAGCGAAGACTTGGTCGCTCGAGCGACCAGACACAGAGAAACTACGCTCGAGCCAAGGAAGCCTTGCTCGAGCCAACAACTCAAAATCTCGCTCGAGCGAAAGAAAGCTCGGTCGAGCGAAGAACTCATACCCTCAGGTCTGAACCCAGACACACGCTCGAGCGAAGGAACTATAGCTCGAGCGAAGGATGAACTAACTCGCTCGAGCGAAGAAAAGCTCGCTCGAGCCAAGAATGCTCAGCTACAGGTCCAAATCAAACACTACCTCTCGCTCGAGCGAACAACTCCTCGCTCGAGCGAAGAACCAAAAACCTGGACAGCAACTCTTGGTTTCTAAACCCAACCAACCTGAAACAAACCTGCCCAACACATCCTATAATTCCAAATGAGAAAATAAGGAATAACAACAACAACCATTATACAATGACAGAATCTACGGAACAGTCCGGATACAATAATCAAATGGGAAAAGACCGGGGTCGCTATATGCTATGTTTGGAAAGAAATAATATTTGGAAATGATTTAAAAACCTTGGCTAGATTGGATCATCTCTAATTCCAGAAATAAAAAATATTTTAGTGATCTTATCAGTTGGTACACTGTGTTTGTTGTTTATCTTTGAAAAATTTGGAAAAACATAAATTTAAATTTTTTTTGATCAATTGGTGATCAGTAGCCAAGATAGTGTGGAGTTTATCTGGACTAATACTAATAAAATTAACCAGGCATTTAATATGGCCATTGTTATTGCTAGATCGGCTTTCAAACTGATTAAGTGGTGTCTTCCCCCTGTAGGTAGAATTGAATTAAACACAAATGGCTGCAGGAAGCTAGAAGGAGATGGAGGCTTTGAAGGACTATTTAGAGATGAAGCTGGAGCATAATTGTGTGGTTACTATGGAAAATTATTCAATGGGACAAGCCTTGAAGGTGATCTATGGGCTATTTATAAAGGCATTATAGTGCTTTTACAAAGAGGATGGAACAAAATCATTATTGAGACCGACACTATGCAAGTTGTGAAGTTGTTGGAGAAGGAGACAGAGGCAAACTCTCCATACAAAGGCATCATAGAAGATGCCAAGATCATTATGCGAGGATGTAAGTGTACTGTACAACATGTGTTCAAGAAGGGTAATCTTTGTGCTAATGCACTCGCAAAGTTTGGAGCTGAGCAACCAGAGGATATTCTGGTGGTGAATAAGCCACTAGTTGAGATTAGGAGGTTACTCATTGTAGACATTGTTAGCAGATCAAGGGAAACGGCTTAGGCCTTTGTTTTGTTGTTTTTCCGATATACCTAAAAAAAAAAAAGAATTTTGAGATATGTGCAACTCACAATGAAATTGCGCCCACAGGCATAAGAAATCAACACTATTCCAAACTAAATGACCCAACCTCCGTCCATTGGTAATTATAGCGATATATCAGTTAAACAAGTAGCTGCATGGTAGGATGCTAAACATAATAAAAAAAATTATATGCAAGTGGGATACTAAAGCTATAAATGCTTACCTATATTTACTAGCGTCCCGCGGGAAACTACAAAAGAAAGATAGAAAATATGTATGATCCTAAATGCAAATTTCTAATGGAATATATATATGCAATATTTACAAAACTGAATAAAAGGCATGGGGTGTGAATTATTATAAAATAAAAGAAATGGGGTTTGAAATTATTACACCAAGTTGAATCTAACAAATTATATAACTAATTTATTTACAACATCTAAGGATAGGTGGTTCAGCCAATCATTTCTAACAAGCTAAATCACATATGTAAAATGTGAAACAAAATTCAAAATAAAGAGACTACATCAGGTGGCTCAGCCAACCATTTCTAACAAGCTAAATCACATATTTAAAATAATAAACAAAATTCAAGAAAATAAAGAAATTACATAAGGTGGCTCAGCCAACCATTTCTAACAAGCTAAATCACATATTTAAAGACAAGAGAAATAGAAATAAAATAAATGAGAAAATTGCAAAAACTCACATTTGGAGGAAATGATGAATTTTCTGATTACCAAACTTTCTTCATAACACCCTCACGGTTATGGAGTATACTTTGAAATCTCAACAAGAAGTTTCAAGTTTAAACTTTAATGGATTTTTGGATGCTATATATCAATGGATAGAATGTTGATTGGAAGCTTTAAAAAAAAGAAAAGAAAAGAAAAAAGAAAAAAAATCTCTTGCTTTCAAAATAACTCAAGATTTTTGAAAATCAATTTCTCTCTCTCAAGATTTTTTGAAACAAAATTTTCTTTTTCCAAAATTTTATCTTTTTTTCTTTTGAAACAAAATTTTCTCCTTTTTTTTTTCTTTTTTCTTTCTAAACAACAGAATGAGGGGATATTTGTAGAATTCCAAACGACCTAAAACACATGGCTAGCCATGTGGTATTTTCAAAACCATGTGGCTTGCCATGTGGAATAGGAGCCAATTTTCCAAAACTGCTAAATTTTTCGGACAAGAAAATTTTGGAATTTTTTTTTGAATAGGTCTAAAATAATTTAGCTAAAACGGGTGTAAGGTTGGAATTAAAGCTTAAATTTAGCTTTTTTGCTAAGAAATTCATAATAGAACATATTCCAATTTTCATCATCGGGTGTTCAGAAGAAAGCGCCCAAGTCTTAAGGCTAGTCAAAATGGGGTGTCTACAGTTGCCCTTCTTTAACAGAGCAAGATATGTCATTTAATGATGTGAGTGAATGTCAAAGCCCAAAGATGACCCTTTTAATGAGGTCATAAGATTTGGGCAAACAAACAAGATGCAAATGCAGTTGGTTGAACGCGAAGGTTGCCTACGTATCCTTTTGCAAGGAATCAAACCAGCGTAGTTTAGGGGCAAGCTACAAATGATATACTTGACATGACCACACTGTTGGGTTTTTAAAAGTTCATGATTTTATGCAATGTAATGCAATGAATGAGTAATATGTGAGGCAAGCCTTGTGCAAATAATATAAAGCATAACAAGGGGTACAATCCAAACACGCTCACATAAGAGGAGGAAATGTGGTGTTAACAAACACCCCGAACAGTGGTTGGTATTAACCAAGGGTGGTGTTAACCCTCAACTTGAAAAGGGTAAAGTATTAACCAATGGTGGTGTTAACCAACAACTCAGACAAGGGGTGGTATTAACTGATGGTGGTGTTAACTATTAACCCAAAAAGGGGTTGGTATTAACCGAGGGTAAAAAGGATTGAAAAATTGTAACCAAATGATGTGAATAGATTGTAGCCAAGTGATGCAACAGTGTGATACTTGTAACTATGCATGCAAGATGTAACAAATGGTGCAAGTGTGATGGTAAATACAATAACATAAAGGGTGTGATGTGATAGATACAACATGCAATGTTATAAATGCAGCAAAACAGTGTAATGTAATGGATGCACAAAAGTGATGTGGAATAAATGGCACCAGGGCAGCTCTTTTCATATTCTTTTTCGGTTTCTTTTTTGATTTTCTTTTTCTTTTATTTTTTTCTTGGTTTTTTTTTCTGCTTTGATTTTCTTTTTCTTTTTTCTTTTCATATTTCTTTTTTGTATTTTCTTGTTTCTTTTTCCTTTTTTCCTTTTTTTTGATATTTTTTTCTTTCTTTTTTTTATTCTTTTTCGTTTATCTTTCTTCATTAAGATGATGAGCTCCTCTCTCTTTTTTATTTTTCTTTTTTGTCTTATCAAGGAGTCGAACGTCTCTCTCTTTTTTGTCTTTCCTTGCTGTTGTTCTTCTTCTCTCTTTTCTTCATCTCCTTCTTCCGAAGTGTCGAGCACCGTGTTTGAATTTCCAAATTCAGCATCTGCAACACCTGACGACTGACACCTCGATTCCCTCATCGCTTATCCTAATCCTTTTTCCCTATCTTTTCCTTTTCATTCATCTTCTTCTTAACTGAGGTCTGTGAGAAAGGTCTAGAATGAAAAGCTACAAAAAAAAAAAAAAATGCTTGGCAGTTCGAGTTTCTCTTTACCATGGCTTCTTCTTGTTCTCTTACCTTTTTTTCCTGACCTTAATGATTCTCAGGTGGAGATACCTGATATTGGCTCCTCAGAGCCTACTTAGAGTATCTCTGCCTCTATTTTCAATCCCTATGCAATGCCACTTGAGCAACTACTGGCAACCTAGTCTAACATTGACGCTAACTTCTGCACATTGAAATCGTGTGTGGAGACCTTCACTATGGTGTCCAATTTGTCTCGTTAGTTGAAGAGTGGAACAAATGAGGTGCAACAGCTGAGTGCACAACTCTCCCTCTTCCAACACATGTATTAAGATGCTCAGCAGGAGATTAGTCAGTTAAAGAGGAAAAATAAGGAGTTGAAGCGCCGAACAACAAACATGGAAAGATCATTGATGCCTTGGTGTTCTTCATTTAATGGTCAGCGGGGGGTGATTTCCTTCAAAAATCCTGCAAATTCTAAGGTATTGCCTTCAAGGTCTTCCCTCGAATGAATCCGATCCAAGGTGATCGGCGGTAGAATTGAGCGACGAAGCTGTCTGCAAGTGAAGTCGGCCTTTCACCTTCACTTTTGGGCTCTCGCATTTTGCCAGAATCTAAGACAGCGTCGGAATCTGAAATAGACTCCCTTCCTCTTTGTTTCATTTTTCTATATTTTTTTTTTGTATTTCCCTTTGTATTTTTCTTATTCTTTTATTTATTTATTTATATTTTGAATTTTTTCTTGGGAGTTGGGCACCTATAATTTCAACCTTTTTTGTACAATTTTGATCGGGGTTTGATCCTTGAAATTTAATAAAAAGAGTTTTGTTTTGCGAATTTGAATGGCATGAATGGCACAACACTTGAGCATGAAAAACATTTTATTTTGAAACCTAAATTATGAATGGTTGCATTTCAATGAGTTCTGAACTGGATTTCAAGCCTATAACTGACTGAAACACAAAATATGACTTAATGAAAGAAAAAGAAACAAAAACAACCTAAACACCCATTTACACTCGCTAGAATAAAATAGGCACAAAACAAGACCCAAAACAACATCTAAGGCACAAACCATTGAGCCTGCATGATTTCTGCAAATTTTGTTTTGGCCGGATAAAATAGGAGCCGGTCAGAAAAAGGTTTGTACAACTAGATAGAAAGTTGGTCTGCCACTTAAAGGGTTTTTCTACATTGTTGGAGATAACTATTATGCACTTTTCGGTGAGTGATTACATTAGCGAAGACCCAGGAGAGTGTGAGAATGAGACAAAAGACTTGACTCGATTGTGCCCCTAGTTCATTGCTTTGACTTTTTTTTTTTTTTTGGTTTTCTTGTAAAATGGTTTTGATCTACATGATAGTTAGATTAGCATGCTTGTTCAACTCTTTGTTTTGAAATCATGTAAGTCAAGCTGTGAGTACTAAAAAAATTTACTTTTTTGGGTCCAATGAATGGTCTGGCTTTTGCAAAAATGGAATAATTTTCGAGGAAAGTCACCCTCATTAAAAATCATTAAAATCTATTTTCGCAAATGGTCACTACTCGACTAACATGAAATCAACCCTTGAGATGCATAACCTCAAATCATATAGCCCGAACTTGATCTATCTTGCAACTAAATCTGCCATGAAGAAGAGATAGGACAATCGAACCGAATAAAGATAAACCAATCAAACATGGACAGGACAACCGAATCGAATAAAGGTACATCAATCAAACATGGATGAGAGAAGTGAGTTAAAAATGGTTGGGGCCCTACTTCGGGATGAAAGCTACTTACGTATCCTAATGATAAGAATTAAGCCTTAAGTAATTCCAGGGTAAGGTTCACTCGGATATTAACACTCTTCTTTTGTGCTCTAACTTTTGTCAAAGCTGCTCTTTCGAGTTTTTGACCTTGCGAGCTCTTATTTTATTTTTATTTTTTTATTTTATTTTATTTTTTTATGCTCTAACTTTTGCCTGGGTCTCCCTTTCGGGTTTTTGGCCCAGTGAGCCTATCAAGGACAATACTTTTTTAGTTTGTCAATGTTAATTGGTTATGAGAATTCCAAGCCATCCAAATCCATGAGAACAACTGCGCCTCCTGACCAGATAGATTTGATGATGTAGGGACCCGTCCAATTGGGTTCGAATTTGCCCCTAGGGTCGTGGATAAGAACTCGATTGTCCTTTAGCACTAAATCTTATTTTCTAAAATTCTGAGATTTGACTTTTTTTTTGAATGCCCTGGTAGTCCTATGCTGATGCCTTATTCTTAGCATTTGCCCCTTGTGGGCATAGGTCACTTAAAAAAAAAAAAAAGTTTCA